ATCCTTGAGGAGGAAGGAAAAAATGCTGCTTTCTGAAGCATAACAATGAATATTTTCTTCTTTGGAAGAGTTAAAAAAAAAAAAAAAGCAACCATGGCCCTGTTTTTTTCACTTTGCACTCAGCTTTAGGGACTTTCCTGAGAAGATTATTGCAAAATGTGGGAAAAGGCCTAAGCTCCCAAGACAGTTTCTACATTGAACCTTCCACCATCTATCAATGTTACACTTCTATTTCTGCAACAAGTGAGGACTTTATGAAAGGAATCATTTTATTCACTGAGACTGCAAAAACCACATAAGGAACTGCCTACATACAAAATTATCTCCATCCCTGCTTTCAACAATCTTGTTACACTTAACAGCTACTTTTCGGTACCATCAGTTCCATGAGGCACTGATGTCTTCTGGCATTAGAAATACCCTGTGACCTTTAAAAAAAAATTGCTTTAGGAATTTCAAGGGCTAGCTTCTCACCTTACTAGTTTTTTGCACAACCATTAAATTCACAGTCCTTGACCTGGTCCAACACCAGGCAATAAATAAAATTGTTCCTAGGAAATCAGCGTGAATTCATTTGATAGATTTGTTTCATAGTTTTCTTTACCAGCTACCTCCTGTCACTAGAAGCAGGTGATCTGTCAGGGCAACCACAGAAGTGTAGTGGAGCACTACTTCAGTATATCAAAATACTGTAGATCGCACTATTAATCCAAGTCCTCAATAGTTAAACTATCACAGCAACAAACTACTAAGATACAGAGCTGAGATTTCTATTCCCTTTCAGAAACAGCTGTCCCTAAACCTCTACCAGTTTCCCTCAACCCTGCCTCACTCAAAAAACACACTGGAAACCGAGCAAAATCAATCTAAAAATGTTGTATAAACTCATTAACAATTAGAATCTAATCAGAACTTCAAAGAAATGCAAAGATCAAAGAACTTAATGGATCTTTGTAAGGCAACAGGCTACTGGTATTCCTCACTTCCTGTATCTGTAACATAATGCTATAATTGTTTTTTTTTATACTCAGTATGAAATATTCCAGTGCTACTGTCATACCCTTATATTTGTTCTCAGTACAGTTCTAAAGTTCTTCAGAAGACTAGCATACACATCTCACTCCTGCATTTCACTGGGTATTTGTAATCCTCTACAGACTTCTCCAGCTTTGATAAGTTTGAACTTTGGAGTTCCTATCATATTTCTAAGACATTAAACTGTGAATCTGTTTTACAGTACTTAAAACATGTACTAAAAAAGTTACCATGGGAGGTCGAGCAGTAATTGGTCCAAAAGGTGGAGGAAGATTCATTTTATTCATAAGATGAAGTACCTGAAATGTTTAAAGATAAGTAAAATTCCTTTAAAGAATTAAATTTAAACATTTCCTTGCTAGATATCATACTAAAAACTTCTGGCAGGTGTAAATCAGCATAGGTTTAAGAAAGACAAAACTACAATGATATTACTAAGCAATGTCAAAGCCTGCACTTGAGATCCAAGACTACTGATAAATATGAGCAACACCCTAACCTAAAGACTCTAAACAAAATAAGTGAAGCATCTTCTCAGAATGAAATTCCCACTACTCAAATAACGTAACTGAGAAGATCACATACCATTAATTTTTCAGTGTCAATTAAGTTACTTCTGGTCAATTAAATCTTATTATCTCAACATAATAAAAAATTAACACGGGTTAACACTATCAAAGGAAAAACAACAGTTACTATGCCAAAATTATTTCTGTAAATACTTAAAAGAAGAAAAAGGAGATGCTTGTATTTTTGTACTTTTAAAAACAAATTTTTACATACCTGGACATAAAATTTGGGCACGCTTGCCAAGGCATTTGCTATATTTGCTAGAATTGTACTTGACGGTGGTGGATACAAGTATTTAAGGCAAGAATTGATGGGAAAGGTGAGGCTGAGGAGAGAAAAAAAGATTAAAACCAAGACATCTCAGCACCACTACCACATAATGACTGATAACAATTAATGATTAATAGAGATTTAATTATTCATTACACCTGAATTATCACTGAAATACTATTATTTTAGAACTAAATTTTACACTAAAATTACATCTTTATGACAACTGCCTTAGCTATGCACATAGCACAGTAGCACACTGAAGCAAGTGGGGATGCAGTATACTGCATTCTCTCCTGTTCAATAGTCCATAACAGTTATTTCAAAATAATCTATAACAGAATAAAATAATCAAGACAAAAAACCCCACCAACCCATGGCTGGGTGCGATTCCATTCTCTATTTTAACACAGCTTGGTTCTTTCTTCTCTTCCTCTTTCACTGGTTCTTCTGAACTGAAAATTAATTTCGCATTAATTAAAACAAATCAAAATTTAAGTGACATACACATGAAATATGTTTAATCTCTTCTACTAAAAGCATGTAAAAATTGATTACTACACTATTTTTAACATCTTTTATCAATGGCATTACTATATTATTATATTACTATTAATTCTTAAGAATTAAAACATAAGGATAATTATATCAGCCAGCCTTCTACAATAAATATTTACACAGATTTAAATCGGTCTCCCTATATTCAAACACTTCTGACTTAAATGTACTCAGAGGAAAATAACTAAAATTATTTCATATTACTTTCTCTTCAGAGACTGTAAAAAAATCACAGGTATTTAATTATGTATTTGTTTATATTCAGAGAGTGGAATGAATAACTTAACCCTCCTACAGTTTATATATATTAAGCACTATCGCATAGCTTCTAACACTTAGCTACATATTACACAGATAAACTTGAAAGTCTAGCTATGCAACTTATGCAAGTGCTTGACAGACAACCGAATCCCCAACAATCACAGCTCTTGGTCACAGTAGCATTAGGATTCCTTTTTTTTTTTTTTTAAATATTATATATTCTTTAATTATTTGAAGAGAGACTCAGTTTTACATTTGTTCTGCTCATGTTTCAGTCTAGACACAAGAAAACCAGCTCCAGCTCAGAAGCCAGTGTCTATAAGTCTTAGACAATTTACACTGGCACATGTCAATTCTGCTTGATTCTTGATTAGCTTAGAAAGAAACATCAGGAAAACACTGCATGCAATGTTTAACAGCAAAGGAAAATTACAATCCTGAAGAAAAAAAAGTGAAGAGTCTTTTTTAAACAAAGGGAACCTGGGCAACCCAGAGGTCAGCTTACACAGACTGAAGTCTTGCTCTATAAGTGAGAACAAAGAATCATCTGCCAACTAAAGATATCAGTATCTATAGCAATGAGGATGGGAATTATTTCAAGATAATACAGAATGAAACAATACTAATGGGAGGAAGGTAATCACTTATCTATAGATCTGAACCTACCTGTTAACACTTCTAAGTGATTACAATTTCTCCTTTGACGTAACAGTTCTGCTAAAGTATCATGAATACATAATTTCCTTTCCTTGACCACAAATGCAGAAACTAAATTATTTTCCACCTACCTTTTACACTTCTCTGAGACAGAAGGCTGGCTAAGTACCTGCACACTATCTTGCTCCTTTGCAAATTCAACAACTAAGGTGTGACCTAAAAGTTTCAGCTGATGCAGTCTTGACAAAGCCTTCAAATAATTATAATAGAGAAAAGAAAGAAATGGAAGAGGAAAAACATCAGAATTATTTCAAAGCATAACCGTTTTTCTCTGTGATGAGTGAACTACCCATAGGATTCAGTCCCAACTGCTTTAAAGCCAAGTCTGTGCCACTACAGACACAATTTTGCACCATTCCTCCCTTCACAGCTTCTAGATGCTGCTGTCCTACTAGCAGGAAGAAAAATGACAAGGTTGTAGAGCTAGAATCACTGCAGACTTAGGTCACCTGAAAACAGAGCAAGACTGCACCACTGTTCACCTCACATAGTCTTTCTAATTTTTTTTAGTAGAATTTTAAACCATGGCCTAAAAAAAAAAATAAAAGGAACAACAACAAAAAAATGGAATAAAGGGAAAATTCAGGACACATACTTTTTACCAGTTTGTATTTAAAAAGCATTAGTAATATTACCTTTTTAGCACCTATGTCCCCAATTAACATAGTAGCTTTCCTTTTCTTACCAAACTGGGGCATTCAAGGCAGTCTTAAAATTGTATACATCACTATGGTTGAATTTTATGTCAAACACAATTCTGCAGGAGACAAGTGAATTATGTTTGGTTCATAGTTTTTACTATTCACAGCCCCCCTAGATAATTCACACACCCCCCCGAGACACGGTCTTGATCACTCTCAACTCATCTAAGTTTGCCAGGCTCCACGTGGCAGGTTGAATCAGATGCCTTCCATAAGCCCATTCCACCCCACCTTTCTTAGGACTTTACAGAAGTGTTTGATTTATCAAGTCCTTCAAGCGCCTTCTGAAACACAACCCTAACATTACACTGCCCTGAATTCTTTCTCTCTGACAATGAGTACTGGATGATGCATAAAACATTTTACAGCCCAGGTGGCAATTCATAGCAGAGCTTTGCTAGAACAATAACAAACTCGATACAAACCTTCACAGCTGCATTTTCACTGGGAAAGGTAGCAAAAGCAGTATGTTTCTAAAAAACAAAAACAAAATTTGTCATACTGAATTCATATCAAAAAGGTAAGAAATTGCATGTAAAACATATACCCACAAGTGATTTGTAAGTTCAAGTTTATATATTTGACAGCTTCCAGGTGACTGCTCAGTCATCTAACTCCCATGTAGGGCAAATGTGAAGGACTAGAGAACATCTTTCTGAAGAATTTAGGACAAGCAACTCAATAGTCAAAAGTTAAGACAAACTCAGCAGTTTGAGGTATACAAGAAAACAGTACTTTTCTCCTAGTGAGGAAAAGCCATTTTAAACTGCAAAAATGAAGTTTAATCCTCTTTTCAAAAGAAAATTTAACACTTCTCTGAAGAACATTTTCAACAAAGCAACTCTGAAAAGTTATGTTTCCTACTACAAAAGTCATAATTATTACTGTGGTCTGAAAGTTTAGATGGTTTCTAACATTTTTCCCTTACATTTTTAAAGTTAGGAAAAGTTACATTTTCTACATTAGATCAAATACTCACAGAATACAATGATGATCTTAAATTTTGTTTTGACATTGTTACTTCATCTTGCCACTACATGGTTCATTACTAAAAACATCAAACTTCAATACTGTTCAAAAAGCAGCTATCAGAAGAATCATTGTAACAAAGCAAATATTTTTAACATCCAACAAAAGAAAGTATGACCCTGATACAGGACATGGACATAATTTAACTGCGGTTCGCAGGGAATACAAGGCTCTTTGCAACTAGCAAAATCTGGTTATTTTTAAAATTAAAAAAATAAAATAAAATAAAGGTTCCAAGACACAACCTGCGAAGCTGCATCCCTACGCCTACCAACAGACCCTTCCGTACTGCTTTTCCACAGCCTTACAGCAAACGAGGCGCCCACTGCGGCCCAGGGCGGGGGACTTGCCGCCGGCGGGGAGAC